AATGAGGCAGTAAAACGGTGTTCCACCTGGTCTCAACCCTCTTACACATATTGATGTAACCAACATACATACGACAAGAACTATCACACCATGGGTACATACAAATCTCAATCTGTAATTCACACACTACACACTACATATGGATATCTATCTCCTTCGTCCTGTAATGCTGATAACGGAGAATCATTCATGCAGAAGAATACTTGTCAAGTTGCCATGTATAAGCTCAGAGGAGTATTGTAAATTCCGGCTTACTAAAACTTTGATGGAACTATCAGAAGTATCAAATACAGCGAAACATCAGTTGGAACAAACTTTCATTGAGAAATACAAATGTCGAAATAATGAAAATCAATCACATGTAACCATCATATGTGAAATACTTGCTAACTTTTGTTGTTTAGTTCATAATGAAGGAGATTTCTTGAAACCACTTCAATCAATTTATGTGTGATGAAGATAATGTGTTTGATACACCACTTTCTACTTCTTGTTATTCATTTCTGTGTCATCTCCACCAATATTTACTTATACATAGACCCAGTAGGCCAATGCCATATACTATTCACTGTCTATCTCATGATGACATGGATGTTGGTATGGATGAGCCGTGGAGTAAAATATCCTCGTCTTATTACATTTTAGGTTTATTAGCAGCATAAAAAGCTGCAGCAGCAGCAGTAACACATGTCAGAAGATCACTCCAAATGGAATGAGGTTCAGATGACTGTGTTATATGAAATAGATTCTATGCATCAGTGAAGATTTCATAACTCTTTCAGCTAGTGCTATTTAATATTGAAATTACATCACATACTTGTAATTTCCCACTACTACCCTTGGTTGAATTCCTCAGCCTCCGTTAACCGATGGTCTTCTATGCAGATGCCTCATACCGCCTGGACACTCATCATATTGTAGTCTAATAGTTGACTAGTAGTAGAATAGAGGGTTAGCATTTAGCCCACTTTGGAAGTCGATAGCTGGGTGTTCCTGAAATCAGCATAGTAAGGGTAGATTACAAGTATCAATAAACAATAAGTGATACCCACTGAATAAATGGTGGCTTTTCCACCCACGTAGCCAAGTGAGTAGCGCATTCGAGTTAGATGGGATGAATACTGAGTTCGAGTCACAGTGGGGAAAATGTCACTCACTGGCGTCAAAAACGTCCAGCTGAGGAGTCCTAAATACGATGGATTCAACTGGTAATCACCAACGAGAGCATCATAAGTCAATGAATTACTTTATTCCTATCAACCGTCAAAAATAACACACTGTAATTATAAATCAATGGCAATCACCTCTCCACCTCAACTTCATCGACTTTGAGAAGGCCTTTGACAGCGTCGACCGAGAAGTAATTTGGAAACTGCTTCAATACTACGGAGTACCGCAAACCTTTATCAACCTCATTCAACAACTATATGAAGATGCTACATGCCAAGTAATCCACAATGGGAAGCTCAGTGATGCCTTTGAAGTGAAGACAGGAGTGAAACAAGGTTGCCTACTATCCCCCATGTTATTCTTGATTGTGGTGGACTGGATCATGCAGCAAACAGTAGGCAGCGAGAAGAGGGGGATACACTGGACGACGGAAAAGAACCTAGAAGACTTGGATTTCGCCGATGACTTATGCCTAATGTCACACAAACTTGAAGATCTGCAGGCAAAAACTAACAAGTTGGCAGAAGAGGCAGCTAGGACGGGACTTCAGGTGAATATAGAGAAGACAGAAGTGATGAAGATACCGCACCACCACCATCAACAACAACAACAACAAACTCCAATCACCGTCAACGGGAGAAACTTGAAGGAAGTAACCTCCTTCAGTTATCTAGGAAGCACTGTTTCAACTACAGGCGGGACGGACGAGGACGTCAAAGTCAGAATCGGAAAAGCAAGACAGGCGTTCATTAGCCTGAAACCAGTGTGGAGATCTCCTGCACTCAGCATGCGGAACAAGATACGGATTTTCAACACCAACGTCAAGTCAGTGCTCTTGTATGGCTCAGAGACTTGGCGCGTCACGAAAGGTATTTCCAATAAACTACAGACATTCATCAACAACTGCTTACGCTCGCTGCTGAAGATCAGATGGCCAGAAAAAATAAGCAACAAGGAACTCTGGGAACGAACCAACCAAGAACCTATCACGCAACAAATATGCAGGAAGAAGTGGAGATGGATTGGCCATGCACTGAGAAGGCCGACGGAGGACATCACGCGTCAGGCCCTCGAGTGGAATCCCCATGGGAAGCGACGAGTTGGACGTCGGTGTCGAGGGTGACATGGAGGAGGTCGTGCGAGGAGGAAATGAGAGCTTCTGGGCTGTCGTGGAGCCAGGTTCAAAAGATCTCAGAGAACAGAGGTCACTGGAGGCGTGCTACTGAAGCCCTATGTTCCACTAGGAACCCAAGGGACTAATAATAATAATAATAATTATAAATCATTCAAAATTACAACCGAACAGGCTGACTGGATGGCTTCAGGAAAAGCAAATCATGTGCCGATGAGATTTCAACTCAACACTACGCATCATCACAAAACAGAGCATAGAATCTCAGTCAACTGTTCACCTCAACTTCATCGACTTTGAAAACACCTTCAATCGAGGCGTCAGTCGAGAAGTAATTAAACAATTGCTGCTTCAGCACTACGGTTTTACTACCACAAACCTTTATCAACCTCATTCAACACCAGCTACATGCTATATAATGATACATGCCAAGTGATTTACAATGGAAAGCTCAGTGTTGATGTCCATGAAGTGAAGACAGGAAGGAGGAAGACAGAAGAATTCTAGAATCAAAAAATTATCACTATGGTTTATGTGTAAGGATAGTACCCTGTTAACATATTTCAATCTCAATAAATATCACAATGAATATAAGTTAGAAACTACGAGTAGATTTTGTAATAGAAAAGAAGAGAAATGAAACCATGAAATTTTGGGAATTAAAGTTAACCAAATGATACATGATTCATTACTCAATTCAGCTGAACACAAAGATAAGATGTGAAACTGTTTACTGAAACACTCTTAAGAGTTTCATATATCAACTGATCTATTCAAACAAATCGTATACGTGGATGCATTATCAAATGTGATACATATGTATCAAATAACTGAGCTATTTAAAACCTTTGAACTGTAAACTCTCAAATTCTTTGGAACACGTTCTGATATACTATCAAGAACCATCTTATATGTTTCTGTAATGCATTTGCTTTACGAAGTACATATGCACTGATAGATATACTCAGAGTCATAATAGTTGGGAAGATTTAAACATACATCACGTTATCAAGTAAAATAATACTGAATCATTGTCGGCATTCACTGTACCAAGTGAATAAATCTAATATGGTAGTAAATTCTACGACAAGGCTAAAGTTTACTCCTCTTTTATAAAACACATTAATTCATGGTATAAATATGCGAAAAACTTTATTAACAGTGTATACATATGTATGATCACATCACTACTGCAGAAGGTTTAGAAGAAAGGAAAGGTACCTGCCATTTGATTGGAAGAAGGGTTTCCTTGTCAAACTCCCAAACACGGGAGACCTACGCCTCTGCAACAACTGTCGAGGAATCATGCTGCTGTCCACCCAAACCAAAATATTATGCCACATCATCCTGGAGAGACTAAAAGATAAACTGGATTCAAAGTTGCCACCGGAACAGGCTGCCTGGCTGGCTGTCTGGTTTCAGGAAGAAGATATCATGTGCGGATGGAATTACAACGCTACACTACGCATCATCATAGAACAGAGTATAGAAAGGCAGTCAGCTATTTACTTTACAACAACATCCATTTTCAAAACGCCTTCAATAGCATCGACCGAGAAGTAATTTGGCAACTGCTGCTTCAACACCACGGGTTCAGTGCCACAAACCTTGATCAATCTCATTCAACAGATATATGGAGACGCCACATGCTAAGTGGTCCACAATGCGAAGCCCAGTGACGCCTTTGAAATGAAGATAGGAGTAAGACAAGGCTACCTACTATCACCGATGATCTTCCTCATTGTGGTCGACTGGATCATCCAGCAAACCGTGAGGAGCGAGAAGATGGACATAGGCTAGCTGGACCGATGAAAAGACTCCAGAAGAAGATTTGAATCTGGCTAACGATGATGATTTATGTGTTATGTCATGTTGCACAAACTGGAAGATCTGCATAGGAAAACTGACAAGTTGATAGAAGAGGCAGGGCAGCGAAAACGGGACTTCAAGTGAACGTAGAGAAGACAGAGGTGATGAAAATACCTAACTAACAACGGTATCAACAACAATAGGCACCGATCATCATGAACAGGAAGTAGTTTCTTTCACCTACCTAGCTAGGCAGCATCGTTCCCACTGCAGGCGGTACAGACTAGGATGTCAAAACCAGGATCGGAAAGACACCAAGATAAGCTTTCACTGATCTTAAATAATCAGTGTGGAGATCTGCTGCACTCCACTCAGCATGTGGAGCATGATCCAGATTTTCAACACAAACGTTATGTCAGTGATTCTATATGGCTCGGAGACTTGGTGTGTCACGAAAAGCATTTCCAACAAACAACAGATATTCATCAACAACTGCCGCCTACTCTGTTTCGATACTGAAGATCAGATGGCCAGAATAATAAGAATAAGCAACAAGGAACTCTGGTTACTTGACAAGGAACCAAGTAAGAAGTTATCACCTAACAAATATGGAGAAAGAAGTGGAGATGGATTGAGCACACACTGAGAAGGCCGACTGGGAACATCACTCTCTAGGCCAGTCCCTGGAGTAGAATCCAAAAGGGAAACGACGAGTTGGGCTTCCGAGAGGAGGGTGATATTGAGGAGATCATGTGAAGAAGAGATGAAAGCTTGTGGGCAGTCGTGGCGCCAAGTTCATAGGACTGTAGAGAAGAGAGTGGACTGGAGACGTGCTACTGAAGCCTTACGTTCCATTAGGAACCCAGGAGAATTATAATAAATAAATAATAGTATATATGTATATTTCTTTCCTAAGACTGCATATTGAATTTATTTTGGTTGTCATATTGTATATCGAAAAAAGAAAAGTGGAAACATCTTTTCTATGAGGATCTAAGTTTTTCACTGGATAAGAAAGACATAATTGAAAACAAAGTTAACAGAACAAGTAATAAGGATACGTCCAATAAAGGACTCAACGCATATTGTAATCACAATAATAACAATACTACTATAAAATACAAATGAATATAATAAAAATGGGATGAAAAAATTTACAAACAGATAATCATTTATATAACGATAACTAATACAAGTTAATCACAATTCATCAATTATTACTACTACTACTATTACTACTAAGAGTAAGAAATAGTAAGTTTAGTAATAAGGTGTAAAAAACGAAAGGAAATAAGTAGTTATGTTGGATTGGATAAATATTTTCTTAAAAAAAGATGAAGATAAGAAATAAACTGATACTAGTATCAGTTTCACCGACAGCTAGGTATGAATGCACACCATGATAGTACACTTACGAGTAGAAATTATATATATATATATATATATATATATATATATATAATTACTTTCTTCTTAACAAGTAATATTTTTGGCACATTCAGACATGACATACTTTAATAGTATATCGATAAACAGAGAAAATAATTGAAGGCATTAAGATGTTGTGTTTATCTCATCTTCTTCATGTTTATTTTAATCAGAAGAGAGAAATACAAAGAGACATACAGATGACAAGTATTCTCTTCACTTCCCTGTAAGCTATCAACTGTAAGCCATTCCTGATATTTGCATAAGTTGAATACTGAATAATCAAATGTAATTTTAACAAAATACTTATATACATTTCACTTAATGATATCAATACCAATTGGAAGATTTTTTTCACCTCCAACAAAGCGTAGAGTAGTGCATAATTTGTTTAATATATTCATGAAACGATCTGTACCAGTGTAATCAATTTCTCCTCTTTCCCAGGCATACATTCTTTCAATGCTTGCTGCTTCAATCTCACTATGTCTTGCACATAGATTCTTTCCATAGTTAATATTTGCTAGTTGTCCAGGTATCCCAGGCTAAAAATAAATTATAATATAGCATTATTTAATTCTATGCAGCATAGATGCATATACTAGGCTATAAGCAACAACTTGTTCAAGGTGTATTACAAGGAACACTGTTTGAACTCCAAGAATCATATTAGTGAAGTCAAGTTATATTATAAAATTTACGTTAAATATTCAATATTATTTTCGAAAATTAAAAAAAGTGACCATGATATTCACGAAAAGCATTTCCAACAAACTACAGACATACATCACATCAACAGCTGCTGTCTACGCTTACTTGATACTGAAGATCAGATCAGATGGCCAGAACAATAAGAATAAGCAACAAGGAAGTGTGGCTGGCTGGTAACGAACCAACCAGGAACCTATCGCCCAACGCATATGCTGACGAAGAAAGTAGAGATGGATTGGGCACACACTGAGAAGACCTTTTAAGGACATCACGCATCAGGACAGGCCGTCAAGTGGAACCCAAATTGGAAGCGACGAGTTAGGCGTCGGTGCTGAGGACTACATGGAGGAGATGGTATGAAGAAGAGACGAAAGTTTCTGAGGAGTTGTGGAGCCAGGTTATAAGGACTACAGAGAAGAGATGAAAGTAGCGATGTGCTACTGAATCCCTATGTTCCACTAGGAACACAAGAGACTAGTGATAATAATAACAATATTCACTTTTTGTCAAAGCGCTGACATGTTTGAAAACAGATATGCTAACGAATATTTTCAGTGTAATGAAAGTATCAGTGTTGTCAACTAATTACACACTACATTCGTGTCGAAGCCAACAAAGTACACCTATTGCTTCTGGGTTAATAATAACACTACATGGCTACCGAAATCTTAGTAAATAGAGCAGGGGGTTTGAACGCATCACCCTAACCCAATGAGTCATAGCCCTCCACTATCAAAGTAAGGGTTGTGTGGCTTTCTGATATCTCCTTGTCTGTAGGAAAGAAGCTAACGTACGCAGACAGTGTTAGGTATGACAGTTTAAACTTGAAGAAGTGCTGAATAGTTCATCTAGCTTAGAGATATTCATAACTGAAAAATTCAAACTACTTCAATCCTTTCCGAAATAGGTTGTACTATGTCAAGCTTGTTAGTTAAAAATTTTATAACTAAAGGTCCGCTACAACTCATAAAAAATCTATGGAACAAAATAATATCATCTGATTCTGAAAATGTTCTCATTGCATAATATTAGTTTGTCAAGGGGAACTGTGTGGATGAAAACTTAACGTCACAGAATAAGGTATTTTCAGCACTCACAAACAACTATTATTATTATTAATACTATTAGTATATTACTAAAATTAGCACATCCATATATTGCTGGTAGAAGTGAGAGAGCTATTGGAAACCGTAGAGTATTGAACAACCGTTTTTTATCCGACTACCAGTTTTTTCGTAAGTGCACACCGATAAGTTTGTTCAGGATTCAGCTAAACACCATAGACTTTGAGCCCGATTGCTTCACATGCACGAGGCATTCATGACATTGAGTTACAATTAGGCGGCATCACAAATTGACTGGAGTGGGACAGTATGTGCTTTTGGTCAAAGCTTGAAATACTCATCACAATACGTGATAGTGTTGGGTTCAATTGTCTATAAAGTCCTGAGAAGTACTTTTAAAAGGTTGACAATTGTTACTCATGGTTCTTTATGCTTCTTAGTTGTCAGGTTACAATGTTAGGCCAACTACTATACAAGCAATATTTTCAACAAAAGACACTGTCAAAAGAAAATTATAACGACATGAATTTAACAAATCTAGTGAAACCTAGTGAACAGGGTAAAACACCAAGCTGAACTACTACTACTACTACTACTACTACTACTACCAACACACACACACACACAGATGTTAAAAACGATTGGGTTATGTTCAAGCAGAATTATTCACATGAGCATGAAAGCTGCAATCACACTGACCAACACTGAAAGAGAGACAGAATGATTGCAACAGGCATCAAAAAGAAAAAGACAAGCATCTAAGCTATTACAATAAAAAACACACAACTACACTAGTCTACACACTGGAACTGTAAGTAATTCATAGCATGCACCACAGATAGAGAGGAGAGAATAACCAAGTGTCTTTAAATAGAGCAAGAACAACAGCGTTAGCAGAATAGCATGAATCCATTTTATTTATGATAATTTACTTGGTTGAGAAATCCATGACATGTGTTTCAACCTATTTGGGACTCGTCAGCTGGATGTACTTAAACCCCAGTATGGAGTGCTGTTGTTCCCATTGAGACTTAAACCTCGTACACATCGCTTTAAACATGAAAGCGTTATCCACTAGGCCACGAAGGCACGTTAGCCATCCCTTGCACAAGAGTCCTAAATAGGAAGAAACGCGCCTCCTGAATTCCTTTGCTAGCCACAACGAAATAAATTATCATAACTAATATTCAGGCAATATCGAAGCATTCATATAGGAACCTATATATCAATAGAAGTCGAAGAGTTCGATCCAGTTAACCAACGGAGAAGCATACCAACAAATAGTAATGGTCAACTGATTATACGAAATGTCTGCATACTAGAATTAGATTGATAGAAAATTGTCAGCTTGAATTAAGGATATCATTCATAAGAAGTAATTGAATACAACACATGAGTTGAGTGAATCAATATGTAGAGCTATGTTTGCCAATATATTAGAAGGACCAGACGGATATTGTAGAGCGGAAGTTGGATAAGAGGTGAAGGGGGGCAGGGCAAGTGTATTTAACCTAATAAGAAAGCTCACATAAAATGTATGACAGAAGGTCATAGGATTTATGCTAACTAAGAGCTAATCTGAGTAGGATTTAGATAATTAGGTCAAGAATGTGAAATGTAAAATAACAAGAAAAAACTAACTTGTATGAGATGACAAAGATTATCTGAAAGATGTGATGTATTAGCGCTATACATTTCGAACAGTCTCATCACACATGGACTCCACGAACTATTTATGTGAAAATTTATGAAAAAGCTCAATGAATAAATAGTTTCACAAGTCTTTATGTGATCAGATTATTCGAAATGTATAGCGTTAATACATCACGTTTCAGATAATCTTCGTCTTCTCATTAAGCTGTTTATATTTACCAAAGAGACTAGTCTGTTTCAAATTCAATTTGTATGAATCAACAATGATATATGAAACATATGATGATTGTCAACAAAACCAGTCTTTAATGCATAATAAGCCCAAACTGCTGAGGAGTCCCATGCTAGGATGAAACAGCTATCCAGTGCTCTCAGGTTTCCTTTGTTCCTCCAACTGATGTCAATCTAAGACGAATAATAACTTGAAACTGATAACTGTTTCTTTCTGAACACATCAATGAATCAATCATCAGAAATCGTTTAAAATTATTAATAAACAGATGTATAGTAATGATGGGTAGTGGCTAGCAGTGAAATCTGGGGTGTGCATTTCGTCCTATTTGGGACTCATTAGCTGGATGTACCTGCCTGCCTCCCAATGAGTGATATTGTTCCCACCGGGATTCAAACTCGGGAACGATCGCTTCAAACACCACCGAGTCACGATAGCCACTTCTTATGCGATGGGTATGGTTTTAGTGTTATTGCTTGTATTACACCAAGTTCAAGAGTAAAACAGTTCCAATTTAAACGTTTTCTGTAGCTCAATAAATAGATGATTGTAAATTTGCTACATTTAGCTAGTAAAACGATTAAAATCATAGTAAAGACTTTCGCTTTGTTGACAATCATCATATCTTTTTTTATATATCACTACCGATTCATTTAAGTTAGTTTTTGTTATTTCAAGTTGTTATTCATCGTAGACTGACATCAGTTGGAGGAACAAAGGAAACCTGGGAGCACTGGACAGCTGTTTCGTCCCACTAGTATGGGACTCCTCACCAGTGCGCACCCACGACCCCACCAGCAGGGATCGAACCCGTGACCTTCAGGTTCAGCGACCAGCGCGTTACCATTGAGCTAGTCACTGGGTCAGAATCCAATGCTCCATATTTCCAACTTCTGTTAGCTCACGATATATAGCGCAACCGCCACCCAATGTCATCGTTGAGTATTTGTCCTCATGGCCATCAGGCTCTGACTCCACCGGTCACGACTTGTTATTGGAACTTCGGGAATACTTCTCGAAACTAGTCATCAATGAGCACCAGTTCAATTAAATTTTGAGGGAGTTGTAGAGATTTGGAATTATTTCAAGTTGTTATTCATCGTAGACTGAAATCAGTTGTTATTTGTTATTTTATATGCATATCCTTGACTTAATTATCTAAATCCTATTCATATTAACTCTTAGTTAACATAAATATTGACTAACTTTAAAGGCCACCCTAACAACAATCGAAATAACCAATTAAATTTTTATATTTGATGAAAATCTACATTTCCATCTGAAATAAAGAAATCTAATTGGTTGTTTCAGTCATTTCACTTTCGTATATGTTGTGTGAATTTTCGGTACCCCCCCCCGTTCACCTCTTATCCAACTTTCCCTCTTGAGTATCCATCTCATCCTTCTAACATACCACTATATATTGATTCACTCAACTCATGTGTTGTATTCAATTACTTCATATCAATGGTATATATAATTCAAGATGATAATTTTCTATCAATCCAACTCATGTATTAATGTTAAAATTATTTTCGATTGATGATAAATAAACTAGATTCATACTATTCTGGCTAAATGTGTTATTCTTATTGTATTAAAATTTGTGCAGGGAAATAATTATATATATATATATATATATATATATATAATGAATATATATATGTCTAGTAATCATGCAGTTAAAAATATAATTTACCATATTCCTTTTATAAGGAAGTCTAGAATGAGATATACTCTCATTGAATAGATTAATTTTATTATCAGGATTTAATAATTCACACTGATCAATTGATATATTTCTAGAAGTCCTGCTACTTTTATAAGATGATCGCTTTTTAACTTTTTGTCTACACTTTAACTGATAACTATTCAAATAATCTAATTTTAATGATGAAACCATTGAACATATATTTTTGTTTAAATAATTAGATGGTAAAGATAATCGTTTTATTTTCAATTCAGATAAATTATTATTATTATTTATTTGAGAATTTCTAAGTGAAAATTTCCATTCATTAATATCCTCTACACTATAACTTCGTTTAGAAATAGGTAAAGCTTTTAATGATGTACAATAAGATTGATTTTCAGATTGAAATTTCATTCTATTCAAATAGAATATATTTTTTTGATCCCAATTAATAGTTTGATTATATCCTTGAATATTGAACAAGGCTAAATCTAGACCACGAAATTGACTACTTAAGATTATATTCCTATGACTTATTCCCTGTGTATATTCATAATGATTTGAAGATGTTATATTAAAATAGTGATTTAAAGCATTTTCACTATTGTAGATTGTTGTTAAGATATTAGATTTGAACAATTTTTTCTCTCTACTATTGTATACTTTAATCGGTAATGTAGTTTCATATGAAGTTGTATTGTAGTTAACTTCTTTACTCATTCTTTTTTGATTATTATTCAATGAAGATTTTCTAGTTGATTTCTTATAAGTTCTTAAAATTTTAGACTTTGATTTCAATGGAATTTCATAAGTATAACGTTTGTATTTTCTGGATATTGGTTTAACTTGTAACTCTTTATCTAAATTCAATTTTCTTGTCATAGAATGATGAATTGATATTTCTTGTTCCATAATCATTTCTTGATAACATTTAGAACAAGTTAAAGAGTAAAATGATTTCAATTTAGGCGTTTTCATTGGCTCAAACGTTGATAGATTCATTGGAGTAACAACAGATGAAGAAGGTGTAGGCGAAAGTGTCTCCTTATCACTGGATTTTAACTCAAAATTTTGTGTTTCTTTTTCGCATTGACAATCATTGTACACTACTGTATCTTTATCATTGAGTCGGAAATCTTCATTTTCATGGTGTGTATCATTTGGTTTGTCAAGGTGAACATCGTGGTGTTCATCACAGTGATCCAGTTGATAGTGTTCAGTACAGTTCTGATTGTGACTAGCCTCTTGATGATTATGTTGATGATAGTGATTATGACTAGTGTCATTGTTCCCTTGTTGTTGCTCCTCATGAGGATGATGAAGATGATAGTGTTCTTGGTTGGGATTTTTCGATGAATCCTTTTCCCTATAATAAACTTTCCCGGATAATGAAAGATTGAGTTGTGGCTGGAGAGGAACAACTGATGCTTCACTACAGGTTTGATGATGTTCAACAAATCGATTATCTTCATCAATTCTTTGTTTCCTATGCAAATAATTCCAAGTTGTATCATGAAATTCCGGATGATAAGGTAACTGTACAAACTCTGATGCTGGTGGACAGTGTGATACAGTTTGATTCCACCAAATCTCCTGATTTCTTTGTTGTTCATGAAATGATGGATAATATGGGGTATATGAAGTGTTATTATTATCATTATTATTATGGTTATTACTACTGAATTTCTCAGTATCAACCGGTTGGTATGAACCATAACTGTTTGATAAACCTTGAATATTCTCATATTTTCTTAAACTTTCTAAAGAAACATGACCTAAATACTACATACCAAATTTTATATTATCATTCATAACAAAACAAATCCATCAATCATAGGTGAGAAAAAAATTGATAAATTGTAGGTGCAAATGAGCAAATCAATTGTAGAATGATTTGATAATTTCAATTATGCAATCAAAAGCCAGATTAGTCAAAACATGATAATTATTAAGGTTAAAAAAAGAAAACGAAAAAAACACACGCAATACCAACAACAATAATAACAACAATGGAACAATCAGCCAATTGATCAATGAAAACATCAGACAACATTAAAATGTATCCACATACAGGTTTAACCCAAGCAAAAGAGAAGAGAGGAACAGTATGAAAATGATATTAGAAATAGTATATATATATGCATATATATATGTATACATATACGCAGTAAGTAAGTATCTACACATATGTATCAATAAACAAAAGTCTAGGGAATAAAGAAACAACATTTTTTCAATGAATGAATTATCAAATAACACATTACACAAATTTCAGAGTTTATTTTGCTGTGAAAAACACACACACACACAACTTTCCACCTTTCATATTGATATATCGTATACTTGAGTCGACTTTTAAACATTCTTATACCATACAACTGTATTATCTCTAATCATACTTGCCTATGGAAACTAAACATCAATATACTTGATATATTAAAAGGATATTGTAGACATTTTCTCATGGTCAAAAATACTGTTTCGAATGTTTAAACTTATCAATGATGAACTAATCTAATGTTATTTCTTTAGTGGTGTCTAGTATTAAGATCTAGGAAGCGGGTTTCATCGTTGTTCTACTTGAAAAACTGGATGTATTTGTATTTCAGTATCTGATGATGTCCACATCGGGACTCGAAGTCAGTACCCATCACTTCAACTGAGAGTATATTATCCACTATGGCAATGAGACACAATAGCTATCGCTTGTACAACGGGTATCAGCTGTTATTTATTGATGCAGCAGCTATTGAATATACCACAAACAGGCGGTTTATTTTATTTTGTTTATTTGTCCTTTGAGTTCCTAGTGGAACATAACATTTCAGCAGTACGTCACCATTTCACTCTCTAATCTGCAATCTTTACAACCTACCTCCACAAATACCCACAAACTTTCATTGCTTCATCATACCATCTCCTCCATGTCACCCTCACCTCAGGTGCCAAACTCGTCTTTTCTCATCTGCCTTCCACTTGACGACCTGACTTGGTCTGGTGCGTCATGTACCAAACCATCTTCATTCTCAGTGTATGCACAATCCAATCCAATCGAATCCATCTCCACTCTCTTCTTCTACATGATTGTTTTGGTAGATAGATTCGTTGTTGGTTGGTTGGTTGCCAGCCAGCCAGCCACACACCCTTCTTGCCTATTCTTATTATTCTGGCCACCTGATCTCATCTTCAATGTCAGTATCCAGTGAGTGTAGGCGACAGCTGTTCATGTCATGTATGTCTGCAGTTTGTTAGGGATGTTTTCCGAAACGCACTGCCAAGTCTCTCAACCATCACCCTTTATGCTGAGTGCAGTGCAGTACAGTACAGTAGATCTCCACACTGATTATTTCAGATTAATGAAGGAATGCCTTTCTCGCTGTCTTTCCCATCCTGGCTTTCACATTCTCATCTTTGCCATCACCGTCTGTAGTTGAAGAGATGCTGCTTCATCTAGGTAGGTGAAAGAGACAACTTCCTTGAGATTTCTCGTGTTGATGGTGATTGGTGCTCGTTGTTGTTGTTATTGGTTGGGTATCTTCATCACGTGTGTCTTCTCCACGTTCACCTGAAGAGAGTTCCGTCTTCCTTCTCTGCCTCGCATCTTCTGTCAACCTGTTACTTTTCGCCTGTACATCTTCGAGTTTGTGCGACAAAAGATTAGACATAAAACATTATCGTTGGCGAAATACAAATCTTCTTCTGGAATCTTTTCATTTGTCCAGTGAGCTTATGCCCATCTCTCACTGCTCCTCACAGTTGTCTGTTGCATCATCCAGTCCAGTCCAGTCCAGTCTAGTCCAGTCGACCACAATCAGGAAGATTTTCGGTGATAGTGGGTGGCAACCTTGTCTTACTCCTTCCTGTCTTCACTTTATAGGCATCATTGCTAAGCTTTCCATTGTTGATCACCTGGCATGTATCATTATATAGCAAGTAGCTGGTGTTGAATGAGGTTGATAAAGGTTTGTAGCAGTAAAACCGTAGTGTTGAAGCAGCAGCTGCCAAATTACTTCACGATCGACGCTGTCGAAGGCCATAATGTAAGTGATCATAACAGATTTTTACTGAAAATTTATCGGTGTCATTCATCTTGATTGTTAAGGACATGGTTATCAAATGTGACCTTGAAAAAAGTGACAGTTAACCGGATAACAATTTAGAGCAATCAGAACATAAATTATAACAGTTATGATTATTCATCTTGCTAATTTAGCTATCCAATATTATGTAGTTCACCAACATCTGCTCTACATAACCGTTGAGCATTCAGAAGGAAGATGTTCTTTTTACTTCTCCGATTTCTTCCAAGGAAAAATCGACTTCCTAACAGTTTCTTAATATTACTTCATTTTCATAATTTATTTGCTCTTAACTTCGCGTATCTTTCTTTATATTACACAAATACATTTTTTAATCGTAGAACCTGATACGATAATTTATTGGAATTTATCTTAAGCTGTACAACAGAATAATTGATAATCCATATAATCCATTTAAGGGTATTTAGTTGTACAGAGGTAAGAAAGAAAAATAACAATGGTAACAAATAAATAAAGAGTTATATAGTTGAGATGAAATAGGATCAAATGAGAGTCACCAAGAAAGTGAGAGATTAACCACACTCACTTTCTATGCGCAAAAGGTCAAGTTGAACATGTCTAATAGAAATCATTTCCTCGAAGCTCAGTAATCTAGACATTTTCTATACGTTTATTATCTTAAAAGTACTACTTGAAGTATCAATCTGATGTCGTGTGTCTACATGGTGTCTGATAATTCTACTGGTTGAAGTTTTACTTCCATTCAATCATAGATTCTTGAGATAATGATTACTCAACTGAATGAATGTCTTTCTGTCAATCCTTTTAATTCATTCATGTATTCATCATTACAGTTGGAGGTGAAATGAAATATGGATAATTATTCTATTTGAATTGATTCAGCAGGCTATTCAATGTTGTAAGAAAATACTTTCTCAGTGCTCCAATGACTCTCTTGGATATTACATTTCTCTTGAATATAAAGTGTATAAAAATCTTATTCTTTTGAAATAGTTAAATGTTGATTTCTTTATATCTGTTCCTATCTATACTTCATAATCAATTAATGATTATGTTATAAAGCTTAAGATTATTAAATTCTCGATTTTGACACTATATTATAGCTGAATAGTATTCATGTAATCAGTTGGTGTCATTTTACTCTTTCTTGTTTTGTCCAAATTGATTTCAAGGGATTTAAATGTATATGTTTGTTGTTTTTACAAAACTATTATCCAATTGTAGAGTGTTTTTATCGTAAACACATCGAATACTTTGAATTATATAATTAATGAATATTTGTTTATCGTGAGCTAACAGAAGTTGGAAATATGGAGCATTGGATTCTGACCCAGTGGTTAGCTCAATGGTAACGCGCTGGCCGCGGAACCTGAAGATCGCGGGTTCAATACCTGCTGGTGGGGTCATGGGTGCGCACTGGTGAGGAGTCCCATACTAGTGGGACGAAACAGCTGTCCAGTGCTTCCAGGTTTCCTTTGTTCCTCCAACTGATGTCAGTCTTCGATGAATAAAAACTTGGAATATTTGTTTAGTTATTTATGCTAGATAATTTTGTTGAATTCTTGTCAATAAAGATTTGAAAGCTTAATTCTATGAAAAAGCATCTCCTAAACTGACATCATACAGAATAGTAGAAAGTAGAAGTTATAAGTGTACTTCAGACTTTTGAACTTTAGTGTGAATAGCAATGAAGTTGAGTTTAGAATACTGGACTGGGAAAGTAAGTGAATGAATTGAATTCTGAACTTGTACAGAGTGAAATAACTTAGGCAACGTTTATGCATGCTAAGCTAGCCATACACAATCCTAAGTGAAGTAGGATTAGTTTGACAGAAGGTTAAGGCTGTTTAAGCTAAGACATAGCATCAAATTATGAATCCTCTGAATGTTATTCTGTATCACATAGAGATCTGTAGGCACACGCGTAAGAAATCAGTAGCAGTAGGTTCCACGTTGTATGATTTCAATTTTGCAGATAGATACTTTCATTATCATTTTGAAACACTGATCCATTTTATAACATATCCAGTATCTTTGCTGGAAACTCTAATTTAGTACCTGAACTATAACTAATATATCAATCAGGATAAATCAAGCAGGTATCATGACCTTTCCTTCACCTTGTGTTTGCCACATCAACAGACTTTCTTTTAGTACTATTCAGACAATATTGCAAAAAAGATTTACTTCGGAAAGTTAATTCTAATGCTACCAGAGAAAATATCTTCCGGGAAAGATGAAGTTTGCTTGTAATCACTTCGACTAAGTAGCCTTCCTCAAATATAAAGTTGACAAACAATAGATTTTCGTATTATGTAGAGAAAACTTTCTTGTCTATCCTTTTCATCAGCTTCTTTCTAATTAAATTATAATACTGCATATAACAATTAAGCTGTTCCTGTGGATCAAGTTACACAAGGCGTATGATAAGGTACAGGCATCTCTAGATACGAAAGCATTTACCAGCTTCGCTCGGAAAAGTCGAAGTGAAAGTGATAAACGTTTCCTCCTACTGCACCTAGTAGACACATGGCATGATATATATGCCAATAATACTTTCAATGTCATTCGTCATATTCCAAAGACAATACTATGTGTACCTCACCAATGCCTGCTCGACATAACTGAAGCTGTCACAATAAGACTATTCAAACCTGAACTGTGCATTCAGAAAGAACATGTTTAAACTTTATTCCTCCTATGGCTTTCATTAAACAAAAGGCAACTCTTGTCTTCGTTATTCGTTTGCTTTTTCCTTCCTCATCACATTATTCATCTGTATATACACGTCATCTCAATATTGACAAATTTAAAAAGGGAAAAACTGACTTTTTAACAGCTCCTAAATATGACCTCATTTTGTCTTGTCTTTACACTGAACAAATGCATTTGATAATTGAAGGACTTGATGGGAGAATCTGTTGAAAAGAATATTCTTCATTCATATTGTTGTTGTTTGTTAGTGTTTTGCGAATCTTCAATTGTTTGATACTGCCAGTATTTTCATTCTGCCAGGTTATGTTACTCTATTCGATCTGTTACATCAGAAGAATTCCCTCCACCTCTTTTCACACAAGCATCTAATCAACTTCTTTTCTTGTAATGGTACAAACAAACTATGCAATGATGCATTCTACTTACTGTGATATAGTTGGTGGTAAACAATTTTGATTTTTTCAACTGATGTAGTTAGAAGGATATCTAGGAAACATATTTCGTCTAGAATTTTCTTACGGTTCATTTGAGAATGATATCCTTAGATAGCATCCAGTGAAATTATTTGGTATATCTTCTATCTTTAATTATCCCACAGAACACAGATATCGTCTCAGCATCTTTAACGGTTGGGATACAGTGAGACTGTTCAGAATATCAGTTAGCGAAGTGAAGTATAAAATTGTGATCTACTGGTTGAAAACCAACTAGCTAGTTCAGTTAACCACAAACTTAAATAGAAGTAAGCCATGGCCGTAAGTAAAAGAAGTTTAGCTGTTTTACCTGACAATAAGAACGATAAAACATACCTATTGAGTCATAAAGAAAGGACCAGACAAATCAGGGAAGCTGTACAATCTTATTTATATCAATCACATACACAAAACAGTCTATTAATAAAAAATAGGGTATAATTGCATCATTAGGCTAGTGGTAAACACAGAATTAAGAATAGTAAGTAATTGTGTAATAATCTTTAGCATAGTGGAGATAATGAGAAAGGCAAGAAGTTTGACGAAGTGAAAATCGTTGGTAAATACAAAATGCCAACACTCAGTGTCCACTTGATAGATATAAAGAAGGTGAAGAAATAGGCATCATAATCAAGGTCATAATGTAGTGGGCGCCGCTGATCAGAATGAATATAAGTAGCATATTTTGACAAAGCGGCAGAAATCATAACCGATTACCAGCAATGGGCGTGGTAAGAGGAGGTTGAGATAGAAGCAGAGGAGGAAATGAAGCATATTGTGTAAATGACTGTCTTAGGGGGAGTGTTCAATATTTGATGACTACTTTAAAAGACGTCAGTGATAAACACTCCTTCTTCGGGAACAACAAACCCTAGAAGACCAAGCAGGCTTTACACCTAGCCGCGGATGGATCGACCAAGTATTCACACTATGCCAGGTTTTGGAACACAGACACGCTTACTGGCGTCCGACACTGGCTGTATTTCTCGATCTGAAGGCGGCATTCGACCCCATTCATCGAAAAGCCTTATGGCAATGTCTCTCACTGAAAGGCGTCCCGAGCAAGTACATCACCTTATTGAAGGCTCTCTACTCGAACACTTGTGGGCAAGTTAGAGCCTATAGGGAGATGTCAGGTGAGCTGTACTCATCGAGTGGTGTCTGTCAAGGGTGACAAATCTCTCCATTCTTATTCAATTTTGTCACAGATATTCTTATGGAGGTTTCCCTGTCGTCGCCTGATTACACAGAGGTTGACCTAATCGCAGGAGAATTTTCATTAGACCTAGAATATGCAGATGACACTGTCCTGTTAGATGAAGACACTGACAAGATGCAGAGTCTTCTGAACACTTTGAGTAGCAATTTGAGAATGTTTGGGATGCGTTTCTCACCACCCGAATGCAAATTGTTGCTTCAGGATTGGTATTCGACGGTGCTACGGCTAACAATAGAGTGTAGCGGTTGAGTATATCAACCACTTCACTTACCTGGGAAGTAGGATCAACCCTACCCCGGTGGCTCAGTGGCCGATGAAATCTCTGCATGGATGCAAAAGGCTTAGCTGGCTTTTGCCAATTTACGCCACCTATGGCGCCACCATCACGGACTTCGAGTCGGTTGCGGAGATGGTGGGTGTCTGAGATCCAGGAGCAAAGGTTGTGGCCTTGGCACGTTGATGAAGGTTAGAGCGAAAGCAGCATATGACGGCATGGAACGTGTGGATGGAAAGGAGATTTGGGAGAGAAGGGTTGAAAAACTGGAGGAGGAGTTTGACAGCCTAGAGGACAGAGAGCCGGCGACGTAGCAGTTTCGAAGCACGAAACTTGGAGTGTTTATTATTGACATCTTTTACAGTAGTCATCAAATATTGAACACTTTCCACTAAGAAAGTCATCTACACAGTGTGCTTCATTTCCTCTTCTGCTTCTATCACGATCTCCTCTTAATACGCCCATATTGTCCATTGCGTTTCTCTGGGTAGAATATTTACCCATTGCTGGTAGTTGCCTATTATTTCTCACGCCCTCTTGACATATACCACTTACATTCATTCTGATCAGCAGCGTCCACTACAATAAGAGTAAACCAAGTAATTATAATAAAGACTATGGTAAGATAAGAGACTGAATACACTTCTTCTGCAAATAGTAATCAGACTTAAAGTGGTGAACTGCCAGTGCTTCTGCTGTGAACAACTGTTGAAAGTGTACTCCTTTTAAACCGTTCCCTCAGGGCCTGTAGATGATACTGATGGAGGACTCTGGTGGAACTATATATCTAGAGTTGGCCAAATATTCAAGAATTGAACTGTTAATTGACTCACATTCCTCACTCGTCAACTATGCAGCGTAGCACTTAAAGATACGTTTAGCAAGTGAACACTTTGTGTGGCCTAAATTTATCGACATATAGTGAGGTGGTTGAGACCGGTAACTTATCCTTAACACACTTGGGAACCAGTTAATGGCTAGAGAAGCTGGTGAGCAGATTCAAAGAGAAGAATGTGTTTTTCAGCTGATTTTCAGGATCTCTACTGCTGTATCTCCTCATATCATAAATTAATTCTTCTTTGGAGCTGTTATTACTTTTTCCACATTCTGTTGTAATTCCAAGTTTTTTGAGAATGATGCATTTATGCCACATTGTCTAATAACAAACTTTTATTTGTTTGTTATAGACATAAACACGATTGTACAGCTTTAGAAAATGACATCGTCTTAAAAGAAAATTTTCTTTTTTTGACTTGTTCCAACGTTTTTTTAATGAAACTGAGAAGTTCAAAGCATGTTTTACAACAGATTGTTTAATTCTATTCCATTTGAAGGAAGAAATACCTGATTGAACATCTATATTACGGCTAAATCTATGCAGTATATAGGAGAATATTGATGAAAAATGCTTGAGTAATGGGTGAAACTCTTACTAATTTACACATTTTTGTTTAATTCACCAGTGAGTTTACTTGATAAAGATAAAAAGAAAATTATATAAATAAGCTTTTGGTTGACTTACCATATCAGATGAAAAATGTGGTCTTACTAGAATAAGAAATAAAGACCACCAATAGGCTAACATCCCAGCTACACGAGACACAGAACGTCTATTTACATCTGTATTTAAAAGTGTACGAAAAGCTGCCTGACTACAAGTTTTAGCTGCTGATATTTTATGCCATGGTTTAATACGACCAGCAAAGTGTGCAACATGAACAGTTCCACCAAATTGAATCCATGCAGATCGACTTGTATAAAACTCAAAGCCTGTATCCTCTGATATACGACATATACAGTTGTATATGCATGGAAGTCGGTGAGATAACCCACCTTGTTGCCAATTGGAGAAGTATGTATTTAATAGACCCTGTAACAATTCAAACAATGAATAATTTATATGATTTTAAAGTGTATCACAGTAACAAAAACTAATCAAGTCAACAAATATATGAATAGTTAATCCGCTCACCATGAAACTTGACTTCTATCTCTAGCCGCGTCATGAGTCCGTACTGCTAAGGAGTCCCAAACTAGGACGAAACAGCTATCCAGTACTTTCAGGTTTTCAATAGTTTTTCAATTGATACCATTCCGTTATGAATACTACCTTAAAATATATATATGTTCAAAGCTTTGTATTCACAAATATAGCAGACAAAGGACGGGGGCTCTAGGATGAGTTGACAAGAACCTCACCCCTCAGTTCTTAATCCACATTTAAGCTTTATGGAGTTTACAAAAAAGAACACCTGCTGGATAGATGTTCAACTATGTACTGCTATACAAAGACCCAAGACTACTCAGCTTCAAGAATGGAGGGCAAGTATACTGTTAAGAAAACTTATTTTTCTTAGATCACTTGCACAAGTAGTCAGACAGGTTACATTTAAATCGCTCAAGTTACGGTAAGAATGAAATTTAGATTGATTCAGCATCACTGTGGTCCAATCTTTTCAGTATCATACAATGTGTTCAGTCAACGGCTTCGACTATCTACCAGCCTTTAACCAGGGGGTTTGTATTGCTTTATTATTATTATTATTATTTGTCCTTTGAGTTCCTAGTGGAACATAACATTTCAGCAGTACGTCACCATTTCACTCTCTAATCTGCAATCTTTACAACCTACCTCCACAAATACCCACAAACTTTCATTGCTTCATCATACCATCTCCTCCATGTCACCCTCACCTCAGGTGCCAAACTCGTCTTTTCTCATCTGCCTTCCACTTGACGACCTGACTAGGTCTGGTGCGTCATGTCCCAAACCGTCTTCATTCTCAGTGTGTGTCCAATAAAATCAAGTCGAATCTAATCCATCTCCACTCTCTTCTTCTACATATTTGTTTTGGTAGATAGATTCGTTGTCGGTTGGTTGCCAGCCAGCCAGCCAGCCAGCCAGCCAGCCAGCCAGCCAGCCAGCCAGCCAGCCAGCCAGCCACACACCCTTCTTGCTTATTCTTATTATTCTGGCCACCTGATCTCATCTTCAATGTCAGTATCCAGTGAGTGTAGGCGACAGCTGTTCATGTCATGTATGTCTGCAGTTTGTTGGGGATGTTTTCCGAAACGCGCCACCAAGTCTCTCAATCATCACATAGAAGCACTGACTTACTCGACTCAATTAGTGTTGAAAATCCTGATATTGTTCACACTTTATACTGAGTGCAGTGCAGTATATCTCCACATTGATTATTTCAGATTAATGAAGGAATGCCTTTCTTGCTGTCTTTCCCATCCTGGCTTTCACATTCTCATCTTTGCCATCGCCGTCTGTAGTTGAAGAGATGCTGTCTTATCTAGGTAGGTGAAAGAGACAACTTCCTTGAGATTTCTCGTGTTGATGGTGTTCGTTGTTGTTGTTGTTGGTGGTGGTGGTTGAGTATCTTCATCACCTGTGTCTTCTCTACGTCCATCTGAAAGAATTTCCATCTTCCTTCTCTGCCTCTCCTCTTCTACTAACTTGTTACTTTTCGCCTGTACATCTTCGAGTTTGTGCGACAAAAGATTAGACATAAATCATCATCGTTGACGAAATACAAACATTCTAGGGTCTTGTAAAATTGATTTCATAAGGTTAATTGGTAACTCGTTCTGTACACAGCGTTGAAGGTGTTCAATATGATAATGTAGACAATATTGGATAACTAATGCTTTCAAATATCTATTTGGAAGCAATTCTGGTGTTCAAATGCAAAAGTGTTGCATAAAAGCAAAACTTTTCTGAGGTTTTTGTATGGTTATTTCTATTATCTGATGGTTGGCTGAATCGAACTGATTGGTCTGTATTGGCATATTGACTCCTGAGTGGCTCCTTCAATATTGTCTGTGTTTCAATTCTGTACTAATGATGGTTAGTGACCAGTGGTGGATTGGAATACGCGCATCTCATCCTACTTGGGAGTTGTGAGCGATGTTTTTCCCATTAGGATATGAGACAGGGACCGATCTCTTCAAGCGCCAGAGCGTCATCTACTAGGTTATCGAGTCACGTAAAAACTGTACCCGTGTCATAAGAAGTGGCTATCATGGCTTGATAGTCTAGTGGATAACACTCTGGCGCTTGAAGTGATCGGTTCCGTGTTTGAGTCTTAGTAGGAATAACACCACCCATTGAAAGGCAGGTACATCCATCTGACAAATACGAAATAGGATGAAACGCACGTTTCAGATCCCTCTGCTAGCCACTATCCATCATTAGTTTCTGTAGTTGTCATCTATATTTACTGAAATATTGTCTCACATTGATAACCAGTCACAGTTATTAGCTCACTGATAACGTCGCTGACTGAAAGACTGGCTGATATGTGTTCAAAATTCACTGGGGATATCAGTTTTGTAGAGGTTGACGAGTGCCACTAACCAAGTAACACCCATCGAAGTGTGCCTCAATGATGAACCTGCTTGCTTGATGGCCACACTGTAGAAGTGTCGATAGAATATGGTCAGCAATCAGTACTAAACAAAGTGAGATTGGCTGCTTATAAAGTAATCAGACAACCCAGGATAAAGCTGAACATACTACTGAGATAAATACTTACTCTTGATATTTAAGTATGCAGGCATTCTGTCTAGTTTCAAGTTATTATTTCTATCCTTTTTTGTTTAGTAAATATACGCTATGTAAAACAATCATCAAGGTTCTGTCTAGAGGTCTGTAGAGATTTATTCATTAATCTTTGGTTACAATTCATCATGAACTGATATGATTTGAAAGAACATTGGAAACTTGACAGCACTGGACAGATGCTTCATCCTAGTATCGGTTCGCACTACTGAAGAGTCTCAGTTTTCCAATGTTCCTTCAATTGATATCAGTCCATGATGAATTCCAACCAAAAATTATCAAGGTTATTTCAAACTTAACAGAACTGGTCATGTGTTTATTTTTAAAAAGCACAACCAACCTTCCAAAACATTTATAAAAACATCTTCTAAGCTATTTCAGAAACTATAAAATTGTAGCCAGTTGGTCTAGGCACTTCCAACCGATGAGTCATAGGTTGGAATTAAACTCGACCCATCCAGGTAGCATCAAAAGCCTTCACACAATAAGTTCGGCTAACTGCCTCCTGCATAAAGTTGTACAAATTTGGTGAATGAATTTCCTTTTTTCCATCTATTTCAGGAATCATAAGCTACTTAATCAATTATATATAATGTAAAACTGAGTTGGAAGACATATATTGATTACAAGCGTTCGCTTTTCATCTAATTTCGTTTCTTGAATTCCTTAGTAGTTTGCATGTGCTTACTCCATCATCTTATATGTTTCCCCGAAATAACTTTAGTACTTATATAGTGATACTTATAAGTGATCAGCAATGGAAAGCTCAGTGGTGATGCCTATGAAGTGAAGACAGGAAGGAGTAAGACAAGGTTGCCACCCACTATCACCGAAAATCTTCCCGATTGTGGTCGACTAGACCGGACTGGACTGGATGATGCAACGGACAACTGTGAGAAGCTGTGAGAAGATGGGCATAAGCTCACTGGACAGATGAAAAGACTCCAGAAGAAGATTGGGATTTCACCAACGATGATGGTTTACGTCTAATGTCGAACAAGCTTGAAGATGTACAGGCGAAAAGTAACAAGTTAGCAGAAGATGCGAGGCAGAGAAGGAAGATGGAAATTCTTTCAGATGGACGTAGAGAAGACACAGGTGATGGAGATACTCAACCACCACCACCACCACCACCACCAACAACAACAACAACAACAACGAACACCAATCACCATCAACACGAGAAATCTCAAGGAAGTTGTCTCTTTCACCTACCTGGATAAGACAGCATCGCTTCAACTACAGACGGCGGTGGCAAAGATGAGAATGTGAAAACCAGGATGGGAAAGACAGCCAGAAAGGCATTCCTTCATTAATCTGAAATAATCAATGTGGAGATATACTGCACTACACTACACTACACTGCACTGCACCGCACTGCACTCAGTATAAAGTGTGAACAATATCAGGATTTTCGACACTAAATGAGTCGAGTGAGTCAGTGCTTCTATGTGATGATTGAGAGACTTGGTGGCGCGTTTCGGAAAACATCCCTAACAAACTGCAGACATACATGACATGAACAGCTGTCGCCTACACTCACTGGATACTGACATTGAAGATGAGATCAGGTGGCCAGAATAATAAGAATAAGCAAGAAGGGTGAATGGCTGGCTTTCGGGAGACCATTTAAGCGGCGAGTGGTAGATGTTTTATTGAAACGGAGACCAGATGGTTCCCTTCAGCGATCAATTTATAGGAAGCCTACTTGGGACGGACAATATTTGAATTTCCACAGTTGGATGCCTCTCAGCAGAAAAAGGAATCTAATCCAGTCTTTGTCTTCAAGAATCAAAAGAATCAGCACCAGTAATACTATTGAGGAAGAATTAGATAAACTACGGAAGATTCTCATGCAAAATGGATTTCCATCCAGATTTATTGATAAGAACTTGAAAGTAAATCAGAATACGGAGCAAGTACTCACAGTTCCTAAGAAGACCTTGTTTATGAACGTTGTTTTCAAAGGCGATACGGCAGCAGAGATCCTGAAGAATTGGCTGTCCAGATCATTGAAGAAGACATTCTTCTCTGCAAAATTGCAGATCAGCTTCTCTAGTCAACAACTCATTCCGGAGTGCGTTAAGGACAAGTTACCACTTTGGGCCACCTCGATGTGTGTCTACAAATTTACATGCTTCTGTGGACCTAGTTATATAGGACACACAAAGCGCACACTTTCCAAACGAATCTCTGAGCACTATCCTGTATGGCTGTCCAGAGGAGAATGTAAATCAATTAACAGTTCAATTCTTGAACATTTGGTCAACTCTAGACATAAAGCTAGACCAGAATCTTCT